ACAACCCAGAGCGTGTAATGAGACAGTTCGGTCTCTATCAAGAAATTCCACCACCTTTTCCCAGACGTATCGACGAGGAAACACATAAGTAAGATGTGACATCCCTAAATAGTTAGTGTCATTTTTAATTTACTAAACTCACACTTTGTTACATAATTTGTAGGCTAACAAATATGGGCAGGGGTTGGAGTTTATACGATTGGAGGGAAGAGAACAGTGAATGGGTACACAAGTGGGAAAATGAAGCGCTAGCAGATATAGTGCGTCAACTTAGGTATATTTTATGTACATTATTTTTTTACGATGATCATATGATGCGTGAAGATGCTTTACTTTCATCACAACGGTTTATGTAATTATTTAATTTCACAGACCGTACGATGGAATTACAGATCAAGCGTACAAGCAGTGGTAATGCATGAACACACGTGCTAGCCTGGCCAGTCAGCCAGCTACTATACCAACACATCTCACACAAGAGGAGCAGGCGCGGAGACATGTTGAGCTGCATGCAGCTTACTATCGTGACCACCTGGTAATCACTTGTAACTTTTTTAGGTCCATCATTTCATAATCATTTGAACTAAATAACATCTAAATATTGTTCAGCTTGAAAATGTCAATGAAGTAGGGCAGATGGCTACGGATAGCATGCCGGCCCAGGGCCCATATCGCAAGACATTCCAGAAACTTTTGCAACAATTCGTGGCAAAGAAGTTCAGATGCGGTAGAGGCGACGACGTTGCCACTGGAGCATACATGCCGGTAGCGAGGTCAGCCAGACCGAGTGCGGCACCGTCGTCCAGACCGAGCGAGGCGCGTACGAGGCATGAGCAATGGGGGGAGGGTCCGAGTACTAGAACGACATTGCCACGACATGACTCATCTCTGCCGCTGCATCGCTCTTCTTCGATGCAGCTTCGTCAGGGGAAGACATCTTAGGACCATGGCACGGGCTTGGATTCGATGCCCGAGCAGTTTCTTTCCCCTAACCCATATGCGTACACAGGATATGATGCATACATCCAAGGTGAGGGATCTCAGCCGTATCTCTCCACGCGAGGGATCCCCATGCCCGAGGAGACTCGTGTGCCAGATTTAAACCAGCACCACGTACAATGGCCAGACAGTATAGGAGAGGGATATGCTCAGGTAGTCATGTTTACATTTCAATGCATTTACAATGATATCATATATTATCCTCTAACAGTTTGTTTAAAATGTTTCTATGTGCAGGACACACCTGATGTTAATTGGGGCGATGAGAACACCCAACGCGGCGTCAACACAGGCCTCCGGGGAGCATCACATGATCATGGCGTCAACACAAGCCTCCGGGGAGCATCACATGACCTTGGCGACACGGTTACATCATTAGTTACAGAGTTCTTCGGAGGGGATGTTATTGGCCCATCTTTTATCCCCCCGGAGTCACAACCATACGCCTACAATTACGCTTCAGGTTCGCAACAAGGATTCGTGACTCCACCACCTACGCAGGACTCGCAGACACATGAAGCCGAATTGGAGTACGGCCGCGGTCTTCGTGTGCCCCGGCCACCCAATCGCTTGTCGCCTTCCGGTCGTAAGAAAAGGCCAGGTGGTCGTCGTAAAGTAGGGTGATTCATCTATGCACGTGCGCGACCCATTGTATCTACATATGTGTGTATCAGACTTTTCAATTTGAACATCTATGTATGCTGAAATAAAAATGCACCAGTCAGGAACAATTTTTCCCGCCTATATCTCCCGCCATATTATCCCGCTCCACTCTTTTGCTTATGTTAGGCCGAAATGAATTTTTTAAAAAAATTTGGCTGATGAATACTGTGCAACCATTGCCCGTCTTAGACATTGAAAAAAATATATTTTCAAGCAACGCTTTCCCCTCAATATTTTCCCGCAAACGCTTTCCCTCCATATGTTCCGCCACCCGTTTCCCGCCAACCCCTTCCCGCCATATCTTCCTGCCACCCGTTTGCCGCCATATGTTCCCGCCAACCCTTTCCCTCCATACCGCAGTCGTTCTTTCCCGCCATTTTCTCCTCTTTACCTATAAAACCCCCTTCAGACGGAGGTGGATAAGCATTCGAGTGTAGTGTAGTCGAGATGTCCCATTATCCTTTCAATCGTAGTTTTCACCCTGGGATGAGTAGCACTCTTCTGAGGCTAGCTACCAATTTCAGGATGGATAATAGGATAGTTCCATGGGACGATCTCACCGGTAGTGACATCATAATGAATGAGTTGGCTCACCAATTACGTAGGTCTGGGTGGCCTGAAAGGACCTATGAGGAGGTACGTAAAGAACTTCTTAGGTTGGATGCAAGGTGGAAGAAGGTTGTGGAGCCGAAGAGTGAAACTTTTAGAAGGACTGCAGAAAACCATCCATTTTTATGGACTGAGGAGAGCGAGGACGAAGATGATATCTTCATGCCGCCGCTTCCGGGTTCTGCATCGTCAAAGGGCAAGAGTTCTGCATCGTCCAAGGGCAAGAGTACTGCATCCTCGAAGGGCAAGAGTTCTTCATCGTCCAAGGGTAAGAGTTCTGCATCCTCGAAGGGCAAGAGTTCTGCATCGACGGAGGATGACGATGATGCCTTCATGTAGTTTTTAAGCTGTATTCCAGTTGTACCGTTTAATTCAGATGTACTTGCATTATTAGTTTGTACTCTCTTATTGTAAGGCATTATGTTCTATCTTAATTTCATTTTATAGTTGTTGCACGATGCTCGATAATTAGTGGAGGGAAAGAAAATGCCACTACTTTATTCTAAAACTATATATTTTTTTCATCACGACAAGGTACAACTGAAAATAAGATACAACACGACAAGGTACAACTGAAAATAAGATACATCGTAGAATTTAAATAAAGCTACATTTAACTACTGAAATGAAGCTACATTAAACTGCAGAAATAAAGATACAAATGATTGCGAAATTTAAAATACTACCACAGGAATACTGAGTCCAACGTGGACATTTTCCTTTTCCATCGCCAGCTTCTTCTGCTGCCTTGGCCTGACGAGCCCTTTCTTTCTTTCTCTGCCTCTCCGCCTCACAAGCCTCCTTTCACTGTCGTTCCTGCTCCTCCATGCGACGAGCCTCTTCCCTGTTTTTCTTTCCCATTTTCTCAAAAAAACGGTGTTGCTCCGCATAGTATTCTTTTAACTCTCTCTCTTGCTCTGCTTTCTCCTCAGCTTCCGCCTTCTCGCGTTGCTCTTCCGCAAATAAACTATTCCACGCACGGCGACTTCTTTCACGAATCTCAGTCACTGCCCAAGCCGGCTTCTCCGTGTCAATCCAACGATAGTACATGCACAGAGGCGGAGGAGACTACAACAAGAAACAAGAATGTTACTAAAGAATCAATGAAAATACCAACAATATCTATTCGTGATGGTTAAACCATACCGGAGGCTTGTCGTACTCTGAAATAGCTACGGCAGGATCTTCCTCATAATTGGCGCACATGAAAAACTTCATGCCCAACCAATCTGAAAAATCCGTCACCTCCTTCACCTTGCAAAGATCGCCACACCAACACCGCAGGACTGCCACCCCAGGAGGCAAACTTGCAGTCTTCATTTTCCTCGGCCTAATGCTTTGATCCGAACAAGGCAAACTCATATCGACTGAAAAAAATGTGTACACACTTTGCGCACTGGCGATTTCTAGGATGGCTGGACGAGAGCCTCGGTGTCTTCTTTTATAGGCTCAGACGATTAATGATGGCGAAAAAATAAGCGAGAACAGAGGAAATTAGGCGGGATATTTTAGGATCCCTGTAGTGTCGGCACTACAGAACCAAAAGCAGGCATCAGTGTCCATGTCACCGCGCGGAAATCACGCTCTTGGGTGCTGTCACCTCACCTGCAGCAGCAATTTTCAAAGCATGGGAATGAGCGCCATTTGCCACAGTTCTCATGTCGGTCACACTGCAGATCCACACTGCAAGGAATCAGCCCAGTTTGCAACAGCGAGCCCGTGAAATTAGCACACCGCATCGGATTCCCGCTCAATCATGAAAATCAGCATCATTAGCAACAAGCAATCACATACACGTGGGAATCAACGCCATTTACTACAGTGCTCATGTCGGCTCGGGAATCAGCGCGCGCATGCAGCAACGGCCGCCTGCGCTAGTGGCGGCGGGGCCCACGCCTCGGCAACCGAGCAGCACCAGCTGTCGGCCAGCACTGTCAGCCAGGTGAGGCCGCCTCAGGCTGTGGCGGCGAGGCCCACTGGCGGGGCCCACTCGCAGCAGGGCCTGTCGGCCAGGGCTGGCGCCTCGCCCGGTGGCGGCAGGGCCCACCTGGTCCGCCCCGTTCCGTCGCGCCGCGACGCACTATGGGGAATCCGTTCGGTTGGGGTGGCCGCCTCCTGCGGTGGCGGCCGGGCCCGCCGCCTCCTGGCGTGGCGGCAGGTGCCACGTGTCGCCTGCCGCGCCTGCCGCCACCGCTGAGGGGGTCCTTTTTGTCAAATTGATCAAGAGATAGTCTCTTTTGTCAATTCATCTCGGTAGGGGGTCCTTTTGGACAAAAAATCATAATCCTATCCTATAAACCAAAAGAGGCCTTAAACGGTGCTGATTTGCTAAAGGACGCTACCCGGAGGGCTGCTCGGTCCTTCGCTTAAGGCAGTTAATTATGATTTGCTACGAGTTCGCTGCTTTACGCCACACATCGGCCGCCGCGCATATTTCCCTGCCTCTCGATTTGCTTCCAGCCCTTGTGCACGTTAAATAGCACGGTCGCTCATTTAGAGAGTTTGTCCGCTCATTTACAGAGTACCACATACACCAAAAATCAACTGGAGCCTGAACAACCACGCAAAACTACCTCCCTTTGAGCTCCAGAGTGGAGTCCACTTCTTTCTACTAGTGTACACCAAAAGTCCCTTAAAAAATCATCGTGCACGTTTATGCAGCTGTTCTCTACCCCAGTTCTGCACAGAAGGTTGACGCGCCGAACCAATTTGAGGATGCTGTATGTTCTTCATAGCTCGCTTTTGCTGGACTTTGCAGGCTTCTTCTTCCCCTTCCACCAATTCTTCACCGCCTTGGACACCTTGCTCACATGCCCTTTCAGTTTCTTGCCGGTATCCTTGATCTGTTTCACCACCTGTTGCTTCAGGTCTTTCTTTTGCGGACCCTTGTTTTTCAGAATGTTTCCCTGCAAGGAGCAGAGGAAATACGATTAACCCTCAGCAGTTCAAATAAACATATTTCGCTGAGAAGTCACGGAGAACTGTGAGGAGCCAGCCCTAGTAACATATTTGGGTAACCTATGGTAACATACCAAGTTCTTGGGTAAGCTATCCTCGTCTTCATCGTCATCTTCATCATCCTCATCACCTTCAACGCCAAAGTTGTTCTTCATCAGATCGTCTCTGGAGTACATCTTCATGTTTGGGGCTCCTGGCATGCCCTGTCATCAACAATAGTGTAATGTAACAGTTGTATTTTTGCATATTCTTGGATATAGTTACACATGTTACAGCTAAAATATGTACCTCCATTGATCTCATTATCTTCTCCATCTCAGCATCCTTTGAGGGCTTTGCTGCAAAGGGTTCTCCAGGGACCCGGTCCTGCAATTTTTAAAATTGACGTGTATCAGAAATGCCTGCAAAGGGTTCTCAAAACCTAACATCCAGATACTTCTTAGCAGCAGACAGTTAACTGTTACAACTTACAAGCAGAGCATTCAAACAGGCATTATAATCAGGTCCTAAATCATGCCCTGGTTTTATGAAGTATCTGCTTACATGGCTGGAGGTTCTATAAACTCCTTCTTTTACTTCTAGGAAAGGTTTCTTTTAGTCTATCTTATATGGAATTTGTATCAATGCGCATTAGCACATAATAATTAAAAAAACTGAATTTACTAGACAGCAGACAGATCAGATGCATTTCTGTGTGGTCTAGTGTTCTGCTCTTAATATCATATTTTAACTACCTCTGAGTTAAGTTGGCCAACATGGAAGTAAACCTGCCTAGTAAAGCTATGGTGAGCTAAAGACCTGGAAAGATAACAGATAAAGCTCGACCAAGACTAGTATAGTATCCATGTCCATATTTGACCTGCACCAAAATTTGCCCCTATTTCCTTGATGCAAGTACCAAAATAAAGCCATCTTGCAAATTCCATGATTGATCATCACTACGACGTGTACTCAGTGGCAGGGAAGAAGACTCTAATTTGACATTTATTTCACACTGAAGTGGTAAAGCCTGCCTACTTGCCCAATATTCATAGATAATAACCTAATTAAGGGGGCAGAAACAAGACTGGAAATGCTTACTTTTGGAACTGGTGGTGGATCTGCAGCACATGCTTTGGTAATATCTTTGCAGACAAACTTTATCAGCTGATCAACTGAAGGCTTATTTGTGTAGACAAACTCAGCAACATCGGTATCAGCATAACCCATCACCTAAAAAGAGTTTTGTTCAGTAAAGCACAACATATCACATAGTTCAACAGAAATAATGGTGCTGCCTTATGGCCTTCTAACTAGAATAAATATTGTGGAAAGAAAAACGCCAACTAATTTGAAGAATTGGCATAGATAAATCATGATTCATTTTAGATGAGTATCATCACAATATCATTTACTCAACAGTGATGTTTAGTTCATGAAAGATTATCACCTCTAAAGAAACCAAGATCTTAGTATGTTAATAAGTTCTAGACAGTACAATTGTATAAATGCATAATAAACTAGATATGAATCGATCTTCACCTCCTGGCATGCACGCTCAATGGTCTTGCATTCCGAGTTACAGTGCCCTTCCTCATCTTGGTCCACAAGCTGCAAAATACTTTGATGGATTAGAATGTGACTGAGATGCTAGGTTTGTGCAAGTATCACACCTACTGAAGATGAATTCTGTTTGATATAAAAATTTCAATGGTATTTCCAGGAGGAAACAGAACTAGCTACATGTGGCTATAAATTATGAACTAAAAGAGTCAATTTCTCCACTGAGTCAACGAATAAGGAACTTCCTAAATGAAACCATCCAATTCATACTGTCGTTCAGATTGCCAATCTGTTTGATAACTGTTTCGTTGAATTCCAATTATGGCCACTTTGGTATACAAAGTATACGATCTGAGTCGCATTATTTACTTAGCATTTTGCATTGCACTTGCTGGCGGTGAAGCAGATTTGAAATCTTTTGGAGCCTGGAGGCGCACCAGCAGTAAGCAGTTCATAGCTCACACTCAGAGCAATTTCCCGTCAGCAGAATTAAAAAACGCACGAATCCGCCTAAGTTGCAGCAGATTTACCTCGAGCTTATCGCCCTTCTCGACGATGTCGATCCGGAGCATCCAGTCCGCCTCCTGCTTCTTCAGGTTGCACACATTCTCCGCGATGTCGATGATCTCGATCTCCGGCACCTAAAATCCCACACACATAAACTCTCTCGACTTCATCAGCCGGCTCAGAATTCTCCCTCCTAACCAGATGAGCAGAAGAGTCACAGTACCTTCTTGGAGGACGGAAGGGCTTGCTGCTTGGCGGCGACCTGCGCGGAGATCTCCCGCGCGATCCGCTCGCAGACCTGGCACCGGATGTACGGCACGTCCTCCCGCCTCGCCGCCGTCGCCGGCTTCTTCTGCCCCGCCGCCTCCGCCGCGGGCGCCACCAGCAGGAGGAGCACGGCCGCCAGGGCCACGGCGACCACCACCAGGGCAGCGCTTCCTCTCGCCATCTCTTCTTCCTCTTCAGCTCGGTCAGTGGCTGGCTGCAGTCTTGAAGCGGTGGCGGGCGAGATCCCGGCCGTCGGTTGGCGCGTGGGGCGCGTGATCGGACGGCACGGGACGCGTGACGGAGCGTGGCGGCGCCGGCCAGTGGGAGGGAGGCACGTCGGACGCGTGACGTGGTTCGACGGAGGAGCATGGCGTGGTGCGTGACTCGGATGCCCGGCGGCCGTGGGCCGTGGGCCGCACAAGGAGAACCGAGGTAGCCAGGCCCGGTCCGATCGATGGTGTAGATCGGCGCTCAGTGCGTTCGAAAAAAAAACATCTACTCCTCCTGCATTTTCTCCGACTCGCTGCCGCGGGCGAGTCCGGCCGCCGGCGATGCGGGGCCCGCACAGCCGCCCCCAGTGCACGCCGGCCCACCAGGCGGGCGCCCTCCTCCTGGTCGCCGTCACCTCCCTCCTCACCCGCCTCCTCTCGGCCCCTGCCCCTCCCCCGCCCTTCCCCACCCCCGGCCCGCGGCTCTCCGCCGCGGCCGACCACCTCCGCGTCTACGTCTACGCCGAGGACGAGGTCGACGGCCTGCGCGCGCTGCTCCGCGGCCGCGACGGCAGCGTCTCCGCCGCCACCTGCCTCAAGGGCCAGTGGGGGACGCAGGTACGGACACTCCACACCATACGGATCTCCTTCCAACCCCTGTGCCGCACATAATACTACACCTAACTGCTGCTGCTTACTACTCCTACACCTCCGCGTCTACTCCATTGTTACTCCTAGCCGCAAACCTGACCTCCGACCTCAGTTGCCATGAATGTCTCACTGCCACAACATTTAAACCAGTTTTAACTGATGCCAGTCAGGTCTCATTTTTCTTGCTACGGTGATAGGTGAAGATCCACCAGCTTCTCCTGAGGTCAAGGTACAGGACACTGGACAAGGACGAAGCGCATCTCTTCTTTGTTCCCAGCTATGTCAAATGTGTTCGCATGACGGGGGGTCTCACCGACAAGGAAATCAATCAGACATATGTCAAGGTATATAAACCAGCCCCCAGTAGAACTTGTTGATCACTTCACTCGGGTGTGTTTAAGTTTACTAACCGCAAGTTCTCTTCTTGACTGGACCGTTTTTCGTTCCCTGCAGGTTCTGGGTCAGATGCCATATTTCCGCAGATCGGGTGGGCGTGACCACATTTTTGTCTTCCCAAGGTACCACTTGCTTCTACTATTTGAGCACCCCAAATCAAATCAGACAGCTGGTCAGCATTGTCTTTTGGCTGAGGAAACGTTCCCTTGTACACCATGTAAGAACATTGTTGTTTTGTGGAGTATGTAGTGGCGCTGGAGCTCATCTGTTTCGCTCGTGGGCAACTTTTCTTAATCGATCCATCATCCTCACTCCGGAGGTACATAGCCACTCGCGCTGCTCTTCATATTTTCCCTTGTTCATTTCTAATAAATGTGTCTAGTATAACTTATCAAAGTATTAGAAACTGCTTCCAGGGCTGTCTTTGATGTTTTATGTTTATAATATTACAAGAAGGCTCCCTGATTCAACAGTGGGGCAAGAGTTCAGTTTGGGTAAATGTGTATATACGTGTGATACAATTAGGTTACATGTTGTATTTGTTCTTGCTATGCCATCTGCTGTACACCTAGCATATCTCGATCTGTCTTGTTGAATATAATCACATCAATGTTTACCCAAATCCCAGCATAAAAACTGGCAGTTGTGTCTGCTGGTCTTTGTTTAATGTATATCATGAGATAGCTGCAACATGTTTGCAGAGTTTGTGTAGGCAATTGACTTGGTTTTTACTGCTGCAGTATTGTCTTCGATATAATTCAACTTGCAGTCTACTTCTGACATCTTACATAGCGACTTGCATTCTCGTTTTAGGGTGACCGTACTGACAAGCGAGGTATAAGCGCATTTAATACATGGAAAGACATTATTATTCCGGGGAATGTGGATGATTCTATGGTGAAACCTGATGCTCGTGCTGTCCAACCAATTCCGTTGATGAAAAGGAAGTATTTAGCAAACTTTCTTGGTCGTGCCCAGGGAAAAGTAGGCCGTCTTAAATTGGTGGAGCTGGCAAAGCAGTATCCTGACAAGGTTTGTCTTTCTTTTGATATCCAAATACAGTTTAACATATGATATTAATCAGTATGGCTTCTGTGGGTTAAACTGAAAGTTATCATGGCTCCGTTAAGAAAAGTTATTATGGCAATGTTTGCAACGACATGATTCTGAATGAATTGGTATATAGAAGCATTGTTTTTAAGGCGGTAAGGCGTCCTAAGGCGAGCACCACCCGCCTTAGCGCCTAAGGCGGACGCCTAAGCGCTTAAGGCGGGCATATTTGTAAGGCACTGCCAGGGCGCCTTATCGCCTAAGCGTCTAAGGCAGGACACCTTAAATAATAGAGTAGAAGATAAAACCTTGATTTGCATTCTTATTGCTATTCCGCCATGCTCTATTGTCAGAAATTCACATTGCAAGACATACAAGTTGGTATTCTAGGGTGCTTGCCAGAGTATTTACTTATACTAGCACAATGCACGTGCGTTGCTACGAAATAATAAAATACGCCAGACTTGGGACGTCCACTAATTCAGTCTCTGTTAACAGCCTCCTAGGAGGAATGTAACCAAACTCTCTCTCTTTACAATGCAATGAAACGCACGCTCTCATGCGTTTTCTCGAAAAAAAATAATAAAATACGAGGAGTTAGGTCGCTGGCTTAGGAAATCGTCGAAATATGTTGGCATCATGCGGCCTTTGTGCGCTGTTCACTATTAAAGAGGGAGAAAATACAAGAAAAGACTCAGGCATTAGAAAATCTTGAGTAACCATAGTGTGTCCTTTAACAGACACAACATTTCAAATTACAATTTGACTGTCAAGGTCGTCGACCGAATAGGATGACAAAATCTATTGTCATTTTGGAATTACAATTTGCCAATCTCTTATTCTGTGATATAAAACTGAAATAACTTGGTGGGAAAAAAAACAAGAGCATTGTTTTGAGTTGAAGTCACAATTGTGCATTTGTTAATTGTGCCTTCTATAAGTGTTGGTCTCACATGAAAGTAGTCGTGTATTTGTTTATTTGTGTTAGGTCCCACATGTGAGTAGAAATACATTTGTTTATTTATATTCTTGGAAGGTTGGTATTCTCAATGTGGGTAGAGGTACATTTGTTTATTTGTGAAGGTTGTTGGTCCCACATGTGAACTCACTACCAACTCCAGCCTTTATTAGTAGGAAAGATATATGCAAGGTTAATCGTGCTTGCAAAATTTATTAGGTTAGTTTCCTTTCTGTTTGACGAGGCTTATACATACTCTATCCAGACTGGATGTGCTTATGTTTTATGAGCAGCTGGAGTCTCCAGAACTGAAGTTGTCTGGGCCTGACAAATTGGGTAGGGTTGATTACTTCAAACACCTGAGGAATGCAAAGTTTTGCCTAGCTCCTCGTGGGGAGTCTTCGTGGACGCTTCGCTTTTATGAATCTTTCTTTGTGGTGAGCTCTCCCTTCCCCAAAAATATATATTGAGTGCATACCTACACCTAGTATCTGAGTCAGCTGTTCACAATTTTCAATTTTGATGACAGGAATGTGTGCCAGTTCTTTTATCAGATGAGGTTGAGCTCCCTTTCCAGAATGTGATTGACTACACCGAGATATCGATAAAATGGCCATCGTCCAAGATCGGTCCTGAACTTTTCCAGTACCTTGAGTCGATACCAGGTATACCCCCACAATTTTCTTCTCTCCTTTGCAATTATACCATCATTAGTCCTGTTGCGGCGAGCATCAAAGCCTTGGAATTTTCACGCAGAGGAAAGGATCGAGGAGATGCTCGCCCGTGGACGCGAGGTGAGATGCATGTGGGTGTATGCCCAGGACACTGAGCCCTGCTCCGCGATGACTGCCATCATGTGGGAGCTGCAGAGGAAGGTGAGGCGGTTCCACCAGTCTGCAGAAACCTTCTGGCTTCACAACAGGTCGATGGTGAACAGAGATTTAGTGGAGTTCCAGCAGTGGGGAACACCTGTTCCATTACCATGACTTTCCGTGTGTATCGGGTTGATTGGTCAGCTTTTGGGTTGTTGTATGGTGGTAGATGTTCGAGGTAGGGTGAATGACTTCTCTTTCGATCTATTCATTGCCGTCGTCACCCTTGAGGATGGATGCCACTTTTTTAGAGAGTTGTGTGTGCATACTGGCTGAAAAGTGTGTTCTATTGTTGCATTGACAAAGTTGTAACATTTTTGCCCATTTACTTTCCTGAGGATCGCATGGATCTCGAGAAGAACCTACTAGCCGACACATTTGTGTGATACACTATGATCTGTATGACATATGCTTACCACAAGATAGGGCAAGGAACCATCGCCTGAGAGAATTAGTTTGCTCTGTTCGTAGTTCGTACCTCGTCAGTTTGCTCTGTTCGTAGTTCGTACCTCGGTCTCCCTTCCGAAGAAATGCAGTCATAAACACATGAACAATTGTCTCTTGTATCATTATTATGTTAAGAACTATGCAATTAAAGATGAAGCAATATGCAGTTATGTACGCCACCTGAGTGTCCAATTGTGTGAAAACAAATCCGCATCTCCAAAGGCTATGGCAGGGTGCCTGGCATATTACCAGAATCTTACCAGCCATGGATCATCAAACCAAGGTTAGGTTGCCATGCAGAAGATTGTCGACTTGCTCCAATCGGTGCATGAGATCTTAGATAATATCCTGAACAGAGCTTCTGAGGAGAAAGAAGAAAGGATTTCCGAGGATGGACTGGGGTTCCTGGCATTGGAGGCTTGTAGCATTCATGATCTGGCCAAGGAGAGGTGGAGGTCAGGCTCTCAGGAGTGCACGGAGAAGCAAAGGATGGAGAAAAGCAGGATGGGGAGTATGATATCAAGCTTAATGAAGGCATACATTATTTATTTTTATGCAGTTCCTTTTATTTGCTAGTCCTGTAATTGAGAAGAACCTGACATCTCTTTTTGAACACCAAAGGTGGAAGAGCTCACTGTTGGGATAAAAGAAGTGGAACAGGTAGCTGAAAGATGGAGAGAGGCATGTGGGTTGGAGGTGGAAGCTGGAAATGCTTCCACTAAAGAACTCAACCAAGAGGTAATCCAAGAGAAATAAGTTTGACTTAAGCTTTACTAAAATGGTCTTGAGGCCATGAGATGCTTGATGCTTCGGCTGCGCATACTGATACATGACAATTGAGCATAGCATCGTTTGAGAATTGATATGATATTCCTTCAAAGTAGAACACAAAATTTAATGTGATAAACAGGCCCAACTTTTATTAATTTTAAAAATCGCAAGTTTGAAGTCCTTGAGTTAACTGCTCTGATAATACCTTTCATACCGATCAGAATGGTAGATTGTTATCAGGGACAGAAGCTCTACTTAAAATAAGGATTTGATTAAGTTCTCACAATTTCCTTAGACTACACATATCCCCTCCCTGTTCCCCTATTTGTTCTATGTAAGCATGCACCTACGATTTGTGCAATAAGTTCAACTGGTCCTGTCACTAGTCCATTGATCTAGCGTGTCTGGATATTGCAATCTGGAGAAGTCATTCAACTTCAAGCTCTTTTGATTGTGATATTTCAGGAAAAATATAATTCATCAATGAAACAGTATAGAGAAACAAGGATTTGGGACAGCTGACGAAATGGGCAAGAAAATAAATTATTCAAGGGAACACTTAGAAAACATATGTATTTGAGAGTTTTGATGCTTACATGGGTTAGTTTTGGGCAATGCAGCAGCCTTGGCTTATCCAACCGATCGAAACAAGAGAGCGGGAGGATGATCCTTCATTTCCACATGGATTCACCATTTAGGCCTTGTTCGGTTTGGCAGGGTTTGAAGAGGTTTGAAAGGGATTGAAGGGGATTAAATCCCTTGCAAGTCAAAATCCTTCTCAAACGTCCCCAATCCCTTTCAATCCCTGTGGCAAGGGGATTAACCGAACATGGCCTTAGGAAATAAGACAGGACAAACAGAAAATCAGTCTCTCTCTCTCTC